GTTTCACCCCAAAGCTTTGTTAGGAACCCTGTAAAACCTGGCACATGGTTTGTGACACCCAGTGAAACACGGTGCTTCTTCCATAATATCCTGAGCCCTGCTGCCTGTCATTAAGGGACCTCTCTTATTAAGCATCTCTTTTTTAAATGGCTGCCATCATCTGGTCCCAGTGTACATTAAATCCCATTATAATTATGAACACACTTCCCCATAACATTCGTTGCAGATCTCATCCTCGCTGCCTACCCCCTTAGGGCATCTTTGCACTAATAACAACTCAGATTTGCTATCTGAGTTGACAACATTAGGTCCCAACACCATTTGCAATATGTTGGGAAAAGAGATAGAGAGAGAAGAAGAAGCTTTTTCTTCCTCAATCATGAAGATCTTGGGGTCACAGTGACCCAAGGCCTCAGGGGCTAAAAAAAAAAAAAAATCCCTCCTCCTGCCCTTTTGAAAAGTTACTCTCTCCTCTGTAGATGAGGGAAGGGCATACTTGGCACTTGAAAGAGAAACTCAAGTTTGTAAACACCACTAACCAGGTCTCTGTTGGTTGGGGCGGTGATGGTGGTGGTAGTGGTGGGGTGGGGGATGAGGGATGATGGCAATCACTAATCAAAGAAGCCGTCTTACTTGGTTTGCTGAGCATCAACTAACCAAAACACGTAACACACACATCACCTGATTCTTTCCCCCTCTGCTTTTTGGAGGGGGCATCCAAGAAGTAATGTGAAAGAATTAAATTTTAAAAACAAAAACAAAATGTCAACATATACAGGAGTAAATTCTACTCTGCCTCTTTTTTTTTTTTTTTTTTTGAGATGAGATCTTGCTCTGTCGCCCAGACTGGAGTGCAGTGGTGCAATCTCAGCTCACTGCAGCCACCACCTCCCGGGTTCAAGCGATTCTCCTGCCTCAGCCTCCTAAGTAGCTGGTATTTCATGCCTGGTTAATTTTTGTATTTTTAGTAGAGATAGGGTTTCACCATGTTGGCCAGGCTGGTCTCAAACTCCTGACCTCAAGAGATCCACCTGCCTCGGCCTCCTAAAGTGCTGGGATTATAGGCGTGAGCCACTGCGCCCAGCCTACTCTGCCCAATTGTTGACATTACCCACAGCTCTATAGCAGATGTCTGGAATGACGATCTGAAGGACTGCAAGACTGTAAGATTTTTTGACTCCAGAAATGGACACAATAGGTTTGCGATGTCTTCCCCTAACAGTCCCCGGTAGGGTAAAGGTCTGATGCCCTGGTGCATTCCCCAGTGGCAATCTGGAGTTCTCAACTGCAGAAAATACTTTTCCTCTACTCAAGGGCGTCACTACCTGCATCTCTCCTTGAACATGCTTCATTCTCCACTCAGCACAAGTTTTTGGGGAAATGCAAAGTAGCATCTTCTCCCCAAAAGGTAGGGATCTTTGATTTTTTTAAATCGTGATAGAAAAGTTTACTTTGAAATAAAAAAATTAAATATATGTTCCAAATTAAGAGTTGGAACGTTCCAACTCTTAATTTGGAATTTAAGAGTTGCAACATTCCATTCATACTCAGAATACTCAAAACACCACTATGTTCTTCTTCCTATCTCTTTAGTTGAAGATTTTTTGTAATTCAAAGCCCCCTCCACAACTTCTGCCTAAGATTCTGAGGGAGGAGGCAAAGTGTAAGATCCTGGGGGATCTAAGTCTGTTTACCTGGTGACCAAGCTGAGAACCATTTGGTCCTTAGCTTGGCTGGCTGCTGCACAGATCTTGGCCTCAGTAGAGCAAGAGAAGAAGGAAAGTTAAAAGCCCTTGTTTCCTTGATCTATTTCACTAGAGGCTATATAATCTAGAAGTTAAGAGCATGAGCTTTGCAGTCAGAATGGTCTGATTTAAAGTTTCAGCTCTGATGTTTAATAGAGCTACAGTCTGCAGTACGGCACTTAATCTCTCTGAGCCTCAGTTTTCACGTCCACAGAAATTGGGAAAATAATAGCACCTGCGTTAATAGGATTGTTATGTGGATTAAATAAAACAACATAGGTAATGTGTTAAGGTTCATAGTCAGTGCTGAGAATGAGTTATTATTTTCACTGTCTCATTCCTGTATGATCTCTTAGAACTGCTATACCCTCCTCTTCCACTAACTGAGCTCTGAAAGACTGCCAGTGGTGGGAGGTACATGGGTAAAGAAGGAGATGAGAGAATAAGAAGATTTAGCAATGGAATTCCATGCAAAAGCCAGCTCATCTATTCCTCTGTCTCTAGCATGATCTCCCCCTGAGATTGAGATCTCGTGTATTTTTAGAACTGATACCCAGATTTCCCTTACAAGACCCTTCAAGAAAAAATGTAAAAGAAAAATCACTCTAAATACATGAACATGAGAGAGACAGAAAGACAGCGGGCATGCGCGCGCGAGAGCGATTGAGTATTCTCTTGTAATTTTCCATCCTGCTTGTTTTTAGGTGCTGCCATATGAAATCTCTGAACTGAGGATTCTCATCAGCCTTCCTAGGACCCAAGGACATAGCTCTGGCTATAAATGGTGCCAGTTTTGGTGGGGGAGCTGCTGCTGCTTTATCTGGGCCCAATAAACCTTATCAAACTGCTGTGCAGCCAGCCTTCAGCGCTAAGTGGAAATGCTTGGAGCCCAATGCTGGCATTCAGCCCACAGCCTCGCCTGCCTTCTTCCTTTTTGTTACCTTCTCCACCTCTTAAATTCAGGCATTAATCTCTCTTTAACACTTACTAACAAGGGCTGGGCTTTTTAATGGGCAGAGTTTATGAAGCAAGGGAGATTTTCACATAGAGTGAATATGGCACGGGGGTGGGAGGCCAGGGCCATGGAGGATTGTGCTTTCTCTCCCATTGTTTCCAGAGATTCTCTCTTTCTCTGATTTGAGGATTAATAGGAGATTAGGATCAAGGGGTTAATTGTGTGCTTCTCCTGCTACTGCACTGAGGAGAGGCTGGTAGGTGGATGTGGACAGCAAAGCGGAAACCTCCAGCAGGCACTATCTAGGCAGAAGCTCAACAAGTGTAATGATTCTTTCTTCTGTTTCCCTGGTGAGGCACCAGGAGGGTCTTTTCTCCTTTCCTTACATCCCTCCACTCTTGCTTTCCTTGCAGACCAGTTCTTTCCTTTCTTTAAATCCCTTTCCTCTAACAGGGTGTATAGACCTTAGTTGGAGAAATAGGTAGTCTCTAAAAGGGATTGCTCTGTATTGTTAATGAAATGAATACCCAGGGACTGGGTTTCCCATCCCCTTGCCCTGGGTTGGATGTGGTTGTATCCCGTGCTATCAGAGGAGCCCTTCCTTCACTCAAGTGTGTTCCCCTGCCCAGCTCTCTCTACAGACTCCTGCTGGCCTGAGCTTTCCCTGCTCTTAGGAGTCAGGAGTGGCTCTTGCTGGGATGGACTGACCCGTCTTTGGGGCTGTCCCATGAGCGGCCCTTGTGAACCCGGATCAGTTCCGATGTGTAAACTCTGCTGTCTGGCCTTCAGCGGACAGATACAGATTTCTGCCACCTTCCATGGCCCTACAGTTCACGGGAGAGTGACTTGACTCTCCGTCTGGGGCAGTGCCAGAGGCACACATGGAGATGTGATTCTAGATGAGTCCTGCGGAAAACCTTTGGCCCACCCGCGAGTCACGGACAGAACATGCAGACCCAGGCCTCGGTGACCTAAGCCCCGCATTGCTAAAACCACGTGACCTCGAGGGCTGACTGGCCTGAGACCCCTGGATGGCGCTCTCGGTCACCCCCACTTCCCACCCCAACCTCCTGGGTTTTGGTCAGAATCCACAGCCGGTGCCCAAAGAGCGCTTCCCGCCTCTGGCACCCTAGCTTCGCTGAGCTCCAAGGAAAAGAGGAGAGGGCAGCTTTCTGCAGTCAGAGGAAGGGTACATTTTCTTTGGCCGCTCTACCCTCTAGAGCAGGACGGCCCGCTGAAGGAGGACGCACTTCTGAGGGGCCCAGAGCTTTTCTAAGTTTTCCCCTGCCCCCTGAAGACTGTGCACTGAGCTGGGCGCAGTTGTCGGAAACTGTTTGCACCCAGATTGCTGGGGGTCGGGGGTCGGGTGCGGGCAGAGCCGAGAGGCTGTCCAAGTCTGAGAGAGAGAAAAGTTTCTCCCAGGACTCGACCTTGGCCTCCAGCAATCGCGACAGCTAAAAAGGGACGTCTCGCTTCGACAACAGATCTCGCGGACCTTGTGGCACCTGGTTCACCAGGACCCTCGAACTCTGCCTCGGGAGACTTCTTGAAATCCGGATGCTCAAGCCGGGAGGCGCGCAGTAGCCAGAAGGGTGAGAGGCCCGGGTTTGGACTAGGAAAGCAGCCTTTTGAAACAGATGTCAGGGGCTACTGGGAATGCAGCCCAGAGCCATGAGAAAAAAGTTAAAGGCGAGATGACACACACTGAATTGGGGCAAACATTGGAAGAGGGGACAAAACTGCGTGCTTGAGCACCGGGGTGCGGGGGAGGGGGGACAAAACCCGTATCCAATGGAAATTAAAATCTTGGGAGGAGGTGGGGGCTCCTGCGCGCCCTTCACCCTCAGTTCCCCTATTAAGGATTCCGCGTCCCCTGCACGCCTGTCTTCTAGCTCCTTCCTTCCTCTCCGCTCGGCCGGTGAGCGGCGGCCGCCAGCGCCCCAGCAGCAGCTAGATGTCAGGCGAAGCCCGGAGCGCGGAGCGCGGGGAAGGGAGGGGAAGGGAGGGGAGGGGAAAGGAGAGGTGGGGCGGGGAGCGCGCGCGGGCTCGGCCAGTGCGGGGTGGTGGGCGGGCTGAGCCCGAGGACGGCGCGGGAGGGGGGAGGGAAGGGGGGCAGCTGTGGGCAGGGAGCCGGGCTCGGCCGCCAGCACTAAAGATGGAGAGGCGCCGGGGCCTTGCAGGGGAGGGGGCTCGGCGTTGACGTGGGACGCGGCGGAGGCGCAGCAGCCGGTGGTGATTTGCTAACCTCGCAGCAGAGAGGAGTTGAGGGCGATGAGAGCGGGTACTGCGAACTGCCGGGCGATGCTGTCGCTGCCGCCTTGATACGGAGAGCAACAGTTCCCCAGCAACACCCCTCCCCGACACAGGCACACACCCCCCGACAGGCACGCACACCCACCCCACAGTGCCCGGCTCGGCTGCGGTGAGTGAGGGGCCGGGAAGAGGCGCACCGCCGAGCGAGCGCCGCGCGCCGGGGCTCCCCGGGGCTGGAGAGGTCTGGGGGGCGCGCGCTCGCTTCGGCCACTCGGCCGCTGAGCTTGTGCCTTTTTTATTTGGCGTGTTCCCTTCCTGCCGCTGCAGCCGTCGCCGCAACCGGTTGGGGGTCGGCTAGAAGGGGGAGCCCCGGCTGTCAGCCTGGGCACAGCTGCCTCCCCAGCCCTTCCTCTCCAGGGCACGGTCGGGGTGAGAGGTGGGGGGCGTAGCGGTCTGCGGGGGCTGAGGGCGTGAGCAGAGGGTCGGGGATCCGGAGGCTTTGTACCGCCAGGGGCCAGCGGAGGAACAGAGCCCGTGGGTGCTCTTATGTATGCGGACCGGTGCGCGGGCGCGAGATAGGGTTGTGGTTTATTTATTTGTGTGTCTATTCGCCGGCCGGCTGGGAAGCTAGAATCGGAGGAGCTGACGAGTAGATCTGGGGGCGGAGGGGAACAGGACTGGGACTGCTTACGTTTTGTTTCTGTTTGAAAAAACGTGGTGGGCTTTTTATTGATTGGACTTGATCCCCCCCTTTTGCAGGGGAGGGAGGGAAGCTCCAGAGGGTCTCCAGCGCTCCGGGCCCTCCTCGGCTCTCGACGGGACCGGCGGTGACACCGGAGCTCGCCGTGCGCTCTCGGCCGCTCTCGGTGGGTG